GCGCTTGCCCTTGTCTTTTCCTTTTTGGAAGCCATTGATCTTGCCTTTGCCCTTGCCGGGGTAGTATCCACGGCTGAGTCGCTGGTCCTTCAGTGCTTGACGAGTGTCGTTGTAGGCGGCCAGAGCACTCATGACGTCCTGCTCGTCCATGATCTCATCCAGATCGCCGTCCGCCAGGTAGATGAAGTTCTCGTCCTCGTCGAACCCGTTCGGGTAGTCATTCTCTTCCGGCTCATAGTTGCCACCGGGCCCTCCGTGGCCAGGTTCAAGAACGCTCGCTCCATCCTCTTCGTGTACTCCGCAAAGGACTCCTTCTGGCCTCGTGGAGCTCCATAGACAGCGGCCTCAAAGGCTCGAGGTAATGAAACCTCGAGATGGGGAAGAAAGTACTCTCTCAACCTGTTCAACACGTTCTTGACCCCATTCTTGCATGCGATGTCCTCCACTCGCAGGTCGTCGACGGCCAGGGCAGCTACCCCACTCAACTGCCTCAGCAACTTCACTCCCCTCTTGGCCTTTGCGACCTCTGCTTCAAACTCCCATAGGGCCACCTGCTTCTCATACTGCCGAAACGTGGCCTCGGGGTTCTCCCCGTCATAGCCCGGCGCATGGCCGCGGTCCCGCGACATCCCTTCCATTCTCGCCCCAGTCACGCTCGCGGTGGACGCGGCCGCAAAGCCCCTGGGATCCTGGTCTCCCATGATCTTCTCCGCCGTCGGTCACCTGGAAGATGTCGATCAGGCTCCGCGGTACCACTGACAAACCTAGGCACCGTAGGGCCTTCACGCGCCTTTTCTCTCCATGGCGTGCGAAAGCGGTAAAAAGCCACAGGTGGAACCACGGCCCCTACGATTTGGGCCCCACGTCCGAGGTTCGATCGGGATCAACACCACATGTTTCCATGGATGACGTTTCACAATAACATATTACAACCTAACAACAAAACATACGTATACATACAACTGCTTGTTTATATAGTTAAAAGGCATTACAATCTAAGGAAGGCCCACGGGAGTGAAATGAAGGCTAGCTATGGGCAGGTGAGTAAGTGCAGAACGGAGCAGCTGGAAATAACTGCAAAGGACTAAAGCAACATAAACTGCTTGTGCAGCATGCAATGCAACCCACTCAAAATGGCTTGCGACCGCTCTCGCCGACATGACAAACAAGCATCATCGCAAAGCCTTCCCGAAAAGTGTATTGGCTGTCTTTGGATAGAATACCGCACGTCGAGCTCACTATATAACGCTTCTCTGGCTCCCCGTACACTAGGGAACCCACGACTAAATTGAATTCCCTCCCTAGCCTTGTACAAGCGTCTAGTTCTGAAAATGGCGGTGTCGAAAAGAGCTTCGGATGAGATGCCCAAGCTACAGCGGCACAGAGGATGATGGAACAAAATGGCCTAAAGGCACTTGAAGGGCTTGGAGAAGTCATAAAATGTCTGGCAATAGTTGGGGCCTTGAGCGGAGCAAGAGGAACATATGTTTGCGTCGGAATGCAGAAGAAATGAAGTACGAAGAAGAGGATGCCAAACAAGTCAAGGAGCCACAATAGAGGCATTGAGACAAGTTGGAAAGAGTACTGGGAGCACAAAGTGTGAGTCCTTGAAGATGAGAATCCTTACCTTGAAAAAACTAAATGTGCCCTTGGCCCTTTGCTAAAGAAATAGACCTCAAAAAACACCCGGGTATCTCTTGTGAAAGGGGCTGGGAGCCCAATGACAGCGAGGAGGCAAAGCCTTCCACATCTGATGAAAAGCGGGTGGCGTGTTCCAGGATCTCAAGTTGGCTGCTTGCAGCGAGGTTCCTTCCTCCACTCCAAGAGTTCTTCCTTCAAAGCTGTGTTTTCTATCCTGCATCGCGTGCTTAACACGTGAGAAGTTTGCATGAGCAAACAATGTTGGCTCCGAGGTTGTCACATGGATGTGATTAAACTGTTCATGCCTCAAGGCGTTGACCAGGCTGGCCAGCTGCTCCAGTTCAGCCTCCTATTCAAATCACACATGTTCAAGTCGTACAATTCATTTCTTCCATTTCCCAGCATTTCTTAGCTTTCAAGCCCCCCCTCAGCTCCAAAGGCTGAGGTACCGGCTTGCGGTGTCTTCTCTGCAGGCGCGCTGATGGGTTGAGGAGGTGAATGGGCTGGGGCGGGTGCCAATACCAGAGGCGGAGCCACAGTTGTGGGAAGTGGTGTCAACGTGGGAGGTGGCACCACAGTCGGGACCACTGCTGGAGGAGTTGCTGATGGAAAGCCACCGAAGGCACCTGCGGGGACAGTCTCTGGCCGTTCCAAAATTCAAACTACCTCGACTCCCTGCCTGACAATAAGGCCGCACTCTTTGGACAGCTGCCAGGCCAAGCATTCGAGGCAGAGGGAGCCACAGCAGCAGCCGCAGGTGGCGGTGGGGGCGGGGTGACCAATGCCAGCCCGGAATCAGGGACGTCCAGTGGCTCTTCTTTCGGGAGCATGAGCTGGTTCCTGAAAGCTTAAAATGGTACATGGCACGCGCAAGCAAAACCACGTATCACATGTCATACGAGTCGTGCGAGTCATACATATATCACTATCATCATTCGTTTCAGCTGTCAGCTGCTCTGGTGCGTAGGATTGCAGTAACATGCCTGTGATCGGGTGCCCTTCCTCTGTCGAAATAGTAACAACTTGAAGAATCACTGCAGCTTATAGTGATGACCAAGCTGCTCGTCCTTTTGCTTGTGAAGCAGCGAAACCGGAGGCGGACCCTGCACAAAGAAAGTATGGGTTTTCCTGTCACTCGACATGAAGAAAAATTACACCACCGTAGGCCCCAAACAGTTTGTTTTTTTCAACATCGAAACTAGAGCTTGCGACGTCCAGAGCTGGGAGACAAAGGACTGCAAGGCAGAGGCGGCCACAGCAACCCAGAGCTGGGAGACGAGTGTAGAGGATTGCAAGGCAAAGACGGACACAGCAGTACAGAGCGGGCGGACACATCTTAAGAAAGAATTGAGAAGCCCTGACAGTAAACCTCTTGGGGAATTATTCTTCAAGTGCGAACATGACGCTGGTCATGCTGCTCAATCAGCAAGGAGCTGACCGCGTGAGGACAAGAAATAAAAGCGTGAGGAGCGAAGGATGTGACATGAAATTGATGTTTGGTGCCTGACGCATGCCCTGAGACTGTCACAAAATGCAATCCGGTCATTCATGGAACGCTTGCCCGAAAAGGAAAACAAAGCTGAGAGAGTTACACAGTGTGGCAGGAATGCACTCCCGGAGACAGTCACGCGGCAGAAAACAGCAGCGCAGGCACCAGGCAAAAAGACAGAAGTCGCATGGGAGACAAATGAATAGAAATGCTACATGGCCAGCGGAAAAGGGCGGCAGCACCAGTGTAGAAAGCTGCATGGCCAGCGGAAAAGGGTGGACACCAGCAGTGACAGACCTGGAAAACAAATGAATAGAAATGAAAGGAAGTGGGAGACAAGCCAGCCGGGAACCCGACCACAAGCACCCAGGCTGGGAGACAAATGAGAAGGGAGACAAATGAAAGGAAGTGGGAGACAAGCCGGCCGGGAACCCGACCACAAGCACCCAGCCTGGGAGACAATGAAAAGAAGTGGGAGACAAATGAAAAGAAGTGGGAGACAAATGAAAGGAAGTGGGAGACAAGCCAGCCCGGAACCTGACCACAAGCACCCAGCCTGAGAGACAAATGAAAAGAACTGGGAGACAATTGAAAAGAAGTGGGAGACAAATGAAAAGAAGTGGGAGACAAATGAAAGGAAGTGGGAGACAAGCCAGCCGGGAACCCGACCACAATCACCCAGCCTGGGAAACAAATGAAAAGAACTGGGAGGCAAATGAGGAAGTGGGGGACAAGCCGGCCGGGAACCCGACCAGACCATCCAGCACCAAGGCGACCATTCTTTAAAGCATTGAGAACCCCTAACAGTAAACTGTTTGGGGAAAAACAATGGTTTTGTCATTGCTCTCCAAGTCCCCTCCAAAGTCCACCCAGCAATCGAGTTTTGTTATTGCTGCGACACCCAGTCCTCCCTCTCCTATGACATCTGGGTCTGCAGAACTTTGTTCCCGTGCCTGATGGATCTGTATTTTTTGGGGGTGGGCGTGGGCTGGGTTCCTGATTGCCTAACACCCAGGAATACACACACCCATCTCGATTCACGCCTTGGGTGGCTTGGGCATCAGCTTCTTCTTCGGAGCAACCTTTGCCCTGGCCAAGTTGGGTGTGAAGGTTCATGACCGTGCGTATTAACCGTATGCTTCAGTACAGCTTCCGGCTAAACTTGCTCAAGCACTAATGTTCACATGATAAAATGTGTTTCTCTGACCGCTGGCTACAGGCCGTCCTCATCTGCAAGAGTTGGTTGCCCGAAGCGGGAGGCGGTTGCTAGAAGACTGTCAAAGGCTTCTTGGACATTGCCAAGTTGGCCTCCTCTTAGGATCCACAGGGCTTGCCATGGCAAGAAGCTACGCAGCTACTCACTCTTGGAGGTTGCTCATAGAATAAATTGCTGGGATTGATTCGCTTGATGCTGTGAACCCACAGCAAAGAATTTGAAGGATTATGGTATCCAGTATCCAACAAGCTTTGGGGTGATGACTGGTGTGAGAGGATAGTATATGATGTTATATGTATATAAGTATAGTTTAGGAGGTTCCTTGCTGTCAGCCTGGGAGGCTGGCTAGTCCTGACACAGTGCCAACATGACAGAAGGAGAAGGGTGCTTGCATCTGTGTTTTGCCTGCGTGTTTCGTGCATCTACTGCATGGCCAACATGATGTTGCCTCAGCAACGCAGCTGGCACACGTTGCGGGAGGACAAGACTAGATCTTTGAAGTACATGCAACATCACGCGCTCGGGAATCAAACAACTGTCTTGCGCGTCGCAGCTTGCTGAAAGAAACACGCAGAGTGACTTGACAAGTGGCTGAGCTGAATCTCAAATGTTTATTCCGTCAGTTCAATACCGTGGCCAAGATAGGGCCGCAGCAACACCGTGTTCAGGCGGACATAGGCCTCAAGGGAACGGGGGCAAGAAAAAAGGACTGGGGCTTGCAAGCCGGCAACAAAACTGCAAAACCCGCAAACAACATTCCCCTGTAAGACAGGGGCACCTTGCACACAAACGCATTACCTTTCATGCTTCTGTGCGAGCACCAGAATTGAAAGCCTGTCCACTGCGGTCACCGATGTCCTCCAGAATCCAAATGGCCTGCCCGCAAAGTCGTGCCCGCAAAATGTCCAGAAAACATTATTGAACAGAATTCTTGGCCGTTGGTAGCAAAGTCTTGAAGAGACATGTCCTGTAAACTTTACGTTTGGGACAAGTCTTCCTGAATTGGCTGGGCCTCCTGAGCTGCCTGCAAGGATTCCGGAAAATGCTTCACAGTGCAATGCAGAGCGGCCTGGCCATGAAATGCAGTGTGAGCCCTGCTGCAGTCTTGACAGCCACGGTGACTTCGTAGACTCGTAGACTAACCTTTTTGCTCTCTGGGGCTCTGGCTACTGAATGAAGCATAATTGCTTCCCAGGGTAAATCCTGAATGTTGGCCCCGCGAAGAGGCCAGGGAGGGCTAACATCAAAGCAGCACGTGGATGGATTTCATACATCATACGCCGTGTCAACGCAAGCCGCTTGCTTTAGTGCACACCTCTCGGTGCAAAAGCTAAAAGATTCTCAGAAGGCTCTCCCATGCCTACCTATGTATGTGTTCACACCTCCATCCTCTCAACTCTTGATAACATGGAAACTGGAACACTCTGAACCTGGCCTCGAGGGATTTGATCAAATCCAATGCCTCGATAGCATGCTCCAGCGCCTGGAGACATCAAGTAGAAGCATCCGTGAGATGCAAAGTCTTCAGTTCCTGGAGTTATTCCCATGACACCCGGGTTCCTAGTAGTGTCCTTGCTCCTAGTAGTAAGGCCAGGAGCCCCTAGCGTCCCTGCTCCTAGTAGCGATGCCAGGAGCCCCTCTAGGTTGAGACCAGTGTCTAGGTCGAGCCTCCATGGGCCTTCTCATGCTATACAGCACTGAGGCAATCTGGTCCAAAGCAATTGCCTCAAACACTAGCTGGGCGCTTGATGAAGGCAGAAGTTGAGTTGAAAACAAGTTCCACCACTTAAACTCACAAGTTGACAGGGTGCCTAAATATATATAGATAGTTATCTTGCACAAGTGAGTGGGAAGTGACTTTCACTGACCTCACCACGCTTGTAGTGTTGCTCACGGAACCTGCAAAGCACATGCTGTTTGGTTGCCCACTTGGCATGCACAAACAAAACAACAAAAGAACTTAATGCTCCACAAAATTGAGAAAAGCCTCAGGCTTCTTCAAGGAAGCGGCCCCTGCTATGAGGCGGGGTAAGCTTGCTTGAAGAAGCCTAAGCCCTTCTGCGTCCGATCAGTAGCAATTAGCTTCTCAAGTATTTTAAGTTTACTCTGAGTTATACCTCCTCTTTACAGCACTTGTTTAGGCCCTACTGTTACTCTCACCTCACTGCTGACCCCCCTTCCCCGAAACAATATTTAATGTAATATGATATCACATAATGATACTGATACTATAAGGAAATGCAATATAGTTAGTCTATATATATATGTGTGTGTGTTTATATATAACAATGTCCTCCAAATGGTCCAACGAGTCCGAAGAGTCCGTAAGGTACGCACTGCACCAGCGCAGCTTCAGCCACCTCCAAGCCCTTCTGGTCATCCTGGATCAAACCTCAGCTGGCCACGCCTACCCAAAGGCACACAAGCACGAATACAAACAAGTGCAAAATAGAGTATATCAGTATATTATATATATGTATATGTGATCAAGTCAAAGTGCGAAGGCTTGAAGATTGAAGCTGACGTTCCCAACAGTCTTAGCCCACGGCTGTGAGCTTTGACTAAAATTCTCAAGACGTTTGACCTGTGGTTCTCTGGCTTGACACCACGCAAACAAAAGCCATAGTGCTATCTCGGGCCACCACTGGCCAAGCAAACTGTTTTGGCGCCGGTAGATGGCCATTGCGTCTTCCGCTGCCTCCACAGCTAATTATGCATGTCTTGTTCCTTTGCCGTCGTCGATACATGTTCCTACTATATGGTCCAAAAACAGAACGTTAGCAAATTGTCACTGCCTGGAGCATCTGGGCATCATCCTGCCAGGTGGCGCACTTAGACCGCAACGACGTTCTGCAGGGGAAGCTCTGAAGTCCGTTCCTTGCACATCTTGTGCCATTCGGCCAAGCTCATTAGCTCAGTGGCCTCCAAATCGCCAGTTCTCGAAAGATATGCCAAGAATTGGATGGTAGGGAATTCATAAAGGACCTATAAAAAGAGATGTAAGAAAAGAATGTGAAGGAGCCCTTGCCTTCTTTTTTTCATCTCTTGTTTTAGACCCCAATCATGCAATTCAGCGCTGTGGCAACAAACGCTCCGAGTTGAGTTGTGCCCAGGCCAGCCACCGTGCCAGCAAGTGTGGCTACTATGCAAGTTCATGAACGTACAACCGTGAGATCAGCAGGTGGACGCCCATTTTCCAAAATGGCGGCTGAATCGGTTGCTGGAGTCCTGCACAAGTTGAAGTTGCACAACACCTGCGACATCTGGGCTCTGCCAAAGAAACTTGGTGACGGTCACAAGCATCATGCACGTTCTGAGGCACCAAATGGAAGCGTTGGTAGGCTTTGGGATCAGGATCGCACCCAGGAGAGCCAAGATGATTGTCTTCACCATCTTGATTGTCACTCGATCCCCTTTTCAACGGCTATAGACGGGGACGCGGCAATTGCAATGACAGCTCAGCTATGCTTAGCTATACAATCTTCTGCGGTAGCAGGGAACCTGCTGCAAGCACAGCCTGCTTGAAGCGAAGCAGCCATGCCACGGCAGACCAGAAAGCAATGTCTTTCTGACTTGTGGGTAGCTCCTTGGAATCATGGCTTGTGTAGTCATAGGCGAGGAACAAACCCCTTTCCGTTGCTGTGTTGTGCATTCCTAAGTTGCCAGAACAGCATGCAAGGACATAGCGATTAGGTGCACTTACTAATGAAATCTGACATATGGCTTTGGGACATAACACTGCCACAAGCAGTAATCAATTGTGTGACCACCCCACAAGACAAACAAGTTTCGGAGCATGAAGGTCCGCAACAAGAATCCGCATTCCTGGCATGCACTGTCAAGGAAGTATAGAGACCACAAATACTTGAAATGATGTCTGAGAAAAAGGGGAATTCTGGAGGATAAAGTCCGGCACCCTCACGATCCCCTGCAAGAGACGCCGCAACAGCCCTTTCGAGATCGTTCGAGTGTCGGAAGCGGCGCCAGGAGCGGTTGTCCACCATGAGTGCGTCCCCAGCCAGCAGCGGCACACTGACCTGGAAAACCTGCCGGAAAACTGTGCATGTGTGACTATGACCCTGGGAAGTTTGCCCCGGTAGTATAGCGGCATACATGGAAGTCGGGGTACGGTATCCAATGAAGAACAATTATATATACAGTATATATATATATATATATATGATCATGACGAATCATGCAACTACTTGCCGTTGCACTGCAAAAATTACACTGCTTTAGAATAGAAATAATTTACCAGAAGAATCACATGTGGGTTTTTCCAACTATGCTAGATGCTGTAGGGCATCGCCTTGCTGTTTCCACATCCCCACCTCCCCGGTCTTGAGACTCTCCGAACCGTTGTGCGAGCCAAGGAGGAGTTGAAGCTCAGCACCTTTCTCTCTCTCTCTCTCAATGTGTGTTTGGATCATGGTTATGACAAGCATTGCTTGTCACAAGTGGAGCGACAAAGAACTGTGGGGTGAGCATGAGTGGAACAAAAGAATCAAAAGTGTGAGCATAGATTCCAGCAAGCTACCCCGTTCTGGGCTCGTACGGCTCCCATCACTTGCAAACTGCGTGCTGTGTCCGTTCTTCATATCGATCAAAGGCACGAGAACGGTGACTCCATCGCTTGAGCTTTGGCAAAAACCTGATGTTGCTGCCTGCCCTGCCCACGGCCATGAGGCCCAAGACTGCCACAAAGGACTCTCTTCTTCGTGGCTGGCATCAGCCCAAACCAAGAAAGCACGCTTGAGGACAACAACCTCCTCAGGTTTGGTGCCTGCCTGCCCAGATACTGTCTTCACATGCTCCCTGATGATTGGAAGCCACAACTTCTCTGCAGAACGAAGGATTCCAATGCTCATGACCTTAAAGGCATCTGCAGTGAAGGAAACTAGGTGAGCACCATTTTACTGTGACAGGGCCTCCACTTCATCAATCGAAATGCCTTATTGCTAAACTAACAATCTACACACTTGAAAGAAAAGTGCCCGCTAAACTCTGAAGAGAGGCCAAGTCTGGAAAACGCCAGGTAGCATCAGTGTCTAGCAATTCGTTGCTTTCACTCCGGGTCTGCCATGAAGCAGTATGTACTTCATGCATGAGCGCTGCCACATCCGGCATAACCCCTTCTTCGGTGAGCTTCTCGGCGTCATGAAAACACCAACTGTTCCAAATCGACCTCTCGGTGCCTTCAGTGCCTTCTTGCTTTGCAAGTGACTTTGGGTCTGATCGCTTGGACATGGCCAAAGGACCAAACAGCATCAAAGACAAAGCTGATCCCCATGACCGGCCTGATGGTTGTGAGGAGGCTGAATTGGATCCACTTGTTGCATCAACTGGATCTGGTGACAAACACGACCGGCCGGGTTCTTCTGAGGCTTCAGACTGCGACCAGCAGCTAGCTAAGTCGTCAGCATCAAATCGATGGCCAACGGAGGAGGTCTGAGCTATCCTGAATGGCAAGAAGAATGTAATGGAGGGCAAATACGCGACGTTGCTTGACATACGAGTATGCAGGTTGGCATTGCATTGTAAAGTATAACTATGTAACAATGTACATACATTGCATTACACACAACACTACACGTATGTTGTGTGCAAGCATGTGTATACAGTATACAGTATACATATATTATTGTATAATTGTATGTGTTAAGGTGTTGTATGTTGTGATTGTATGTGTGCATGTGTGTGGTGCCTGTGGGACCGCCCATATCCTCCATGCCGCGGCAACTTCGAAAACCGGTGCTCTGCAACTACTCCAGTGTATAGCCAGCAACTAGCATCATATCACACGCAGATTCAGGCTGAGACTCCTGGAGCACCCAGTCTCAAGCAAAGCCCTGACAGATGGCTGCTTCATGGATTGGAACATGGACAAAATATATCCAGAGGAGTGCCCCAGCAGAGCACCAGCAAGGAAAGAGCCTGGGACTAGCAAAGGCATTGCCAACGCCGAGCCAATGGCTGCTCCAGCAACGTCCAAGTTGATGCATTTCCTGGCTGGAGGCTGAAATGGTTGATCTTTCTGCTCAAAAAACAATTGTTGGTGCAGCTGTATGGCAAGTCAGAGTCTCTGGCGGAAAACTAAAAAGATCAAAAAAGTGTGCATGTTCTGGCGACTAAGTGTCGAAGGGCCCAGCAACGGCCTTCCTTTGAAAGTGATACCTTCAAGAACCTCTGTGACTTTGTCTTTGGGGTTCTTCAGCTTGGTGTGGCTGTGCAATGGCACTGCATTTCGGAGAACGCATGCGCCATATTGCTGCATGCAGGCGGTAAAGGCCTGCCGCCGAGGTTCGTCTGATTCTACAGAAACTTGGAAAGCACGCACCAGCTTGTCCTCCTCAGCCTCTACAATGCCCTGAGGCAGGGGTTGCGTCATTCTTCCGGTACCAATGTCGTTAACTATATATATATATACAGAAACACTTGAAGCCAAGGTTGGGCGGTAATGTGGCTGCTGGAGAAAGAGTGAAGTGACTGCGACCGAATGCAGCGTACGCTGCTGCACCAGGAGACTACTGTATATACCTGCTGTCTGCTTGTCAAAATCTTGCCCCTTTAAAGGCAAAGCTAAACCAAAAAAAGCCCCAAACAGCACAAAAGTATACTTTGTGTTTCTCTGGCACGAGGCTCTGTTCGTTGAATTGCACGACATGCCCCCGAACCAAATTCAACAACTTGGGAGTCAAGTGGAACAAAACACATTTCTACAGCAAACAGGCGTACTGCGTGCAGGTGTGACACATTGCATTTAGTTACAGTACGTCGAATGTTTTGTTCGCAGGGGCGACAGCACTCACACCAAAGTACAAGGAAGACTACCCAGTAGGGGATATACTTTTTACACAACATGTAGTCTACGAAGTGACACTGTTTCTCTAACTTGGACCATGTGTGTTCACACCAGCCTCAACCAGAAGGAACATGGGTGGAAACCTTTGTCCAAAGCCACCGCCCGAACCTTTTTGCAGAACCTGAATCTGCACTAAAGTCTGTCATGGAACCTTTTTCAGAACCTCCTCAACCCAGCTAATTCTAGCTGCTAGCTTTACGTACATCCTGCAAATCCCACCTGCAATTCCGTGTGCTTATAGAACAAATAGCTTAGACCTCCCAGGCTGGCACCAAAAAGGCCCCGTGATGCTGCAGCCCTCATGCCAAGGCTGCCCAGCATGCCACCAAGGCCATGGATGGATGTTGCTCATTCTTACCCCGGTGAAATCCAGTGCAGGTTGCCAACAGCATTGCAGACAATGGAACATCAGACTCCTGTTGTGAAACTTTCAGTCTTTTTGCATTAGCATTGCACAGATCGCTGTACCGAGCTTAGAAACGGTCGACCGCAGGTGACGTCACTCGAGTATGCAAAACAGCTTTGCATTGCTTCGCTTTTGCTTGTGCCGCTTTCTTGGAAACCCTGTTCACTGGGGTGGTTGCTTTCGCATTTTGCTACTTGGTCCTAGCGTTTTCGATTGGTTAAACATTGGTAGCGGAGCCCGAGGGGTTAAATCCGCGGTAGTTGGAGATTCTTGGTTGGTGATACCCTTTTTCCTTTTTGGGGGCATAGTTCGCTTTAGGCTGCCTGCTTGCTTTAGCCGGACGGCATGGCGACCTCAGAATCTCCCCAGAGGTTTGACCCTGCGGAGCTTCAGACAGATCCATTGACTCAGCACGATCCATGGGCCGGGGGACCGCGAGGAACCCCGCAGAGCTATGGACCTCAGCGCATTGTGAGAGGAACTGCTCATGATTTTGTTGGACAAGGGCAGGGAGTGACCAGTCCGGAGGGGATGACTGGCCCAACCTTGCCGGTTCTTTCAGATGCAGTTCATGCCAGCTGTGTGCCTCAGACCATTCCCTTTTCGCAAGTGAGCAATAGCTCTTGGCAGTGTGTTTCGGGCGAACCGTGGAACGCACCGTCGGGAACCACTGTGCCGAAGAGCGGGTGTGGTGAGCATATGGCTTCTTTCCCGATTACCTCCGGACCGTTCGCATTGACTCCTTCCGGTACATCACCTCATGGGACCCTGCACGGGTGCGATGGTATGTCTTTTGGGGCTCATGGACCACCAGGGCTATCACATGGAGGGTTCTCCGGTTGTCCACCTTCAGCTCCATTTGGTCCCGGCATACCTCACCACCATCCTCCTGTGCCCCATGGATGTTCATGTGGATGCCCAGGTTTTCCTCCTCCTGTTTATGGTTGCTATCCCCTGGAGTTTGGATGGGCACCATGGATGTGGAATGGAATGCCACGAATGACCATGCCTATGTCGTCTCCACCACCCGGGTTCAGTCCGTTTGCATCGCCGCCACCGGTCGCAGGATCTGAAGGAAAGTCCAAAGCGAAGCCTGAAGGGAAGCCAGAAGATGGAAAGAAAAAGAAGAAAGCCGAAGAGTCATCAGGCGAGACTCGCGTGGGGCGTGGTGCGCCGGGTTCCGGCGGTGGTGGTGGCTCGACACCCCCATCTTCGATGGACTCTAGTTTGACGGACGATGACTCGTCTGCAGACACGTCAGCGATTAGAAGCATGTTGAAGAGAAAGGTTCAACATCAGTTGGAGCGACCCAAGAGCAGCTTGGGTTCCGTGAAGATTGAAGAGTTCTCAGGTGAAAGGTTCAAGTATGTGAAATGGAAGAAGGCTGTAGAGGCCCAGCAGCAGTTGTATAGGTTGGAGGAGGAGGAATTGGCGATGTTGGTGTACTTGAGCACCAAGCGAGAGGCAAGAGATTGCCTGGACCAGGCCCCGATCTCAGAGTTCACACGGCCTGGTGGCTTGCGACTCGTTTGGAGGCTTCTCGACGAGGCTTTTGGTGAGTCGGAGGAGGAGCTTTTCGAGAGAGCCGAGAAAGAGTATGCTTCCTACCGTCGACTTCCTGGCCAGCCGGTGGCAGCCTACATCGGACAGATGAAAAGGCTCAAGGCTCAGTATCAACGTGTGGACCCAGAGACGCAGATTTCTACAAGAGCATGGGCCCAACGTTTGCTGAACCGTTGTTCGTTGTCACGGAGGGAGAGGCTTGATGTTTTCTTCTCGGCTGGCGGCCAGTACGATCCAGTCGGCATAGAGCGTGCTTTGAGACATCGGTGTGCCAATACTCATGAAGATGAACGCCGTCTCCCGACTCCAAGCAGAAGTGCAAGACCATTCCGTCCCAGGCCAAGTGAGGACAAGAAGAAGATTGGGTTGAAGCGACCTTTCAAGAGGTCATTTGTGGCTGACTGCGAAGACCCAGACGGAGAAGGTGAAGATGATGAGGACCTGGAGGCGGAGGAAATGTTGAATGAAGTGCTCATTGAAGACCAAGCCAATGAAGACCCTGAAGAACTCCCACCGATTGAGGAAGGCTTGGATGAAGGCCTGGACGAAGATGATCCAGAAGAAATGGAGGAGCAGATCATGGAGGCGTATGCAGCGGGCTGGAAGGCCAAGACAAAGATGAATGAGAAGCGGAAGGGGCGAGGATGGTCGCAAGGGAGCAACCGTTCAAGTCCCGGCATTCCGCCGTCGGTGGCTCAGAAGAAGCAAGCTTCCCATTGTGCCAGCTGCGGTCAAAAGGGGCATTGGCGTGGAGACCCACAGTGTCCAAATGTTGTGAGTGGCAAAGACAGGCCTCACCAGAAGAAGACCGTCACTTCCAATCCTCCGTCAGGTGGAAACGCCATCCACTTCACCTATGCAGTGACCACTGTGAAGAAGAAGACAAGGACTGAAGAAGTGGCACGCCAGACCAGTGGTCCAGTCGGATGTGCATCTTGCCCGCAGTGCCGTTGGCCTTCGCCAATGGCGGCACGATTTTGTTCCCAGTGCGGATACAAGTTCAGCCATGATGAACGAATGCCAGAAGGGAAGCGAGGATGGACAGTGGTGAGCCATGAGGATGAGGAGGACGAACAAGTCCCAAGCTCAGAGTCCAGTCGGCATGAAGAGAAACCGAAGATGTATCACCTCCGAAAGGGGCTCCTGAAGGAGGCAGCAGGTTATGAAGCCGTCAAGAAGACCAAAGAGAAGGTCAAGGCTAGTCCGCAAGAAGTTATGGCCGCTCTTCCAAAGATGACTAGAGATGAGAAGAAGGAAATCCAGAAGATTTTGCAGAGAGAGGAGCGGGAGCAGGCCTATGAGAGCCTGCGAAGGAGTCATTTGCTGCCTGAGTATGAGTCCAGTGAAGATGAGCATGATCCAACGGCCTCAGCTTCAGGAGGCTACCAGACGCCCATAGTGCCGAAGATGGGGACACCGAAGAAGGAGCTGCAGCATGGCAACTACATGGAAGAAGTTAGAAATAAGACCATGCCGAAGGCAGTCAAGGACAAGAAGTTGGCCCAGTTCCGACTGGAACTGTACGAGAAGCAGATGACCAGGCATGGACTCAAGCCGTCTTCATGTGCACCCACTCCCACTGAGGCCCAAGTTCGCTGCAAGCATCCCTTTGAAAGATTGAGGTCGTCTTCAAACGGTGACGGGCACTATGCCACGTGCAAGGAGTGCGGTATGAAACATGTGATCTACTTCTCCGAACGCCACGGAGCCTGGATGGTGCATCATCCCATCGCACCAGAACCTGAACCGGCAAGCGGTGTGTTCCTGACTTTGACGCCGGGAATGGCTATCATGGACTCCGGGTGTCGTACGGCGGTAGCCGGAAGGCAGTGGCATGAGAGTTTTCAGCAACAGCTGCGTTCCTTGGGTTTGACATGGTTGGAAGAACCCGAAGAAGAAAGGTTTCAGTTTGGCTCCGGAGGACCAGAAGAAAGCACGAAAGCCTTCATCTACCCAGTTCGACTGCATGGCAAGCATGATCTGATTCGAATGTCTTGCGTTGGAGGTGGAGCTGCCAATTGTCCAGGGCTGGTGGGTCCCTCAGAAATGGCCCGTTGGGGCATTGTGATGGATTTTGCGACCAAGAGGTTACAAATCAAAGGAAGCTGGAAGCCAATGATCTTGAATGAAACACGACATCCAGCTATCTGCTTGCTTGACTTTGGAGAAACAACTTCCTTTTGGGATGCAACAGAAGTCCAAGACACCTGCAAGCTACTCCAGCGAGCGCCTCACTCCTGGGCATTCAAGGCAGAAGACATCAGCGAGGCAAGCAGTGAAGAGGATGATGAAGAACCTAGGTCGGAGGAATCTGCAGATGAAACAGAGGTAGAAGAACAGAAGGATGATGGAAGATTGGTTCGAGCTTTGACGAGGTTGGAAGAAGACCTGAAGTACATGCCTCTGCAAGAGCGCCAAGAAGACGATGATTCGCCAGAAGGCA